TCACCTGCAGGTCGTCTCCCAGCCGATCCGCAAGTACCTCAGGTGAGTCCACGCAGGCGCCGGCGGGATTCGCTTTCAGTCCTGCTCTGATCTTTTGGCTCTGATCGTGCACTTTTTTGTGAGTAAAGTTCTACATGAGTTTTGACGTCCTAGCAGAGGATCAAACGTCCGTGTTGTGTTTCAGGACCCGGGAGGACACGGTGAGGCAGATCGTAGCCGGTCTGACCGGAGATGCAGAGGGCTGCACCGACCTCGCCTCCGAGCTGTCCCGAGGAGACCCGGTGACTCTGGAGATGCAGGACAGCGACGAAGAAGGCAACGACCCCGAGGACTGGACTCCAGACCCGACCGACGCCATGCCCGGTCAGTGAACGCACCGCTCTGAGCGCAGAGAAGGAGACCGCAGCTGAAGAGAAAGATCTTACTCGTGTGTTTGTTCTCAGATAAAATGGGCTCGAAGCGCCGCTCGTCCGACATCATCAGCCTGCTGGTCAGCATCTACGGCAGTAAGGAGATCTTCATAGACGAGTACAGAGGCGTGCTCGCCGACAGGCTGCTGCAGCAGCTCAACTACAACACGGCCAGGTACGACCGCACCAGCGCCCGGCTTAAAGCTGAGAGAAAGTGTTGGTACTTTGAACATGTCGGGTCACTGATAGCAAAGTAAATGCTCACGCCCGTCCTGCTTTCTGCGTCTTCAGGGAGATTCGTAACGTGGAGCTGCTGAAGCTGCGGTTCGGCGAGTCTCACATGCATTACTGCGAGGTCATGTTGAAGGTAAACATCTGGAATATGGATCGTTAACCGGATATTTTAGGACATTCCCTGAAAGGATGAATTTCTGAGAACGTTGTGATTACCCGATGGATGCAGGACATGGCGGATTCTCGCAGGATCAACAGCAACATCCGCGAGGAGGAGTCAAAGCTGAGCGAGGAGGAGCAGCCGCCGCTGCCCCTGTCGGCCATCATCCTCTCATCTGAGTTCTGGCCCACGCTGAAGGAGGAGAAGCTGGAGCTCCCTCCTGTCGTCTGCCAGGCCATGGAGGCCTACACCCACCGCTACGAGAAGCTGAAGGTGGAGTTGACCCACTGTGGCGTCTCTGGTTTGGTTTGCAGTAGAAACCAAATGCACAGCTACGCTTTTACCTGCTGAGTCGAGTCCCGTTTGTGTTTCAGGCCATGAGGACGCTGAGCTGGAAGCCTCACCTGGGCTCGGTCACTCTGGACGTGGAGCTGGAGGACCGAGTCCTCACCAACCTCACGGTCTCACCCATCCAGGCTGCCACCATCATGTACTTCCAAGAGAAAAGTAAGGACTTTCATTTCAGAGCGCTTTCATGCTGTGAAATGTAATTCTGCGATGACCCCTGATGTTTTCCTGACATGGCGATGTCATGGTTGTAAACTATCGGCTCTGACATCGCTCGTTACGCTGCGTGGAGTCGAGGGAGATGCAGTTTGATCGTCGTGTACCTGCTCGTCCTCTCAGGTTCTTGGACGTTGGAGGAGCTGAGTGCGAAGCTGGGCGCCCCGAAGGAGCTGGTGCACAGGAAGCTGGCTCTGTGGCAGCAGCAGGGCGTGCTGAGGGAGGAGGCGGGCGGCCACTTCTACGTGGTGGAGAAGGGTTCGTCGAAAGAGAAGCTGGACAGAGGCGTGATGCTGATCGACAGCGACGAGGAGAGGGACTCCAACACCGCCACGCAGTCCGAGCAGAGGGAGGAGAAGCTGCAGGTACACACTTCATTCATCCCGCTGTCTCAGGGTTATTTACTTAGTTACTTTAAGTATTTGAAACCTGGCACCTGATGATGTGCCGCTTCTTTTCAGTCGTGTTATAAAAATCACTTAATAATGAATGACAGTGGGTGTTTTAGGATCACATGCTCCATAAATCACGAGCTTATTGTTGTGAACGACTTGGTGCACCCGCATGATCCCAGGAGGGTAACTCACCCCTGGTTGGGTCTCCTAAGGAGGTCTTTCATGGGAGAGCGCCTGAGAGCCGGGATCTTAGCCAATGAGGCACAGCTGTGGACAGCCCACCTCTTGTGGGAGGGGCCGTAGGGAACGTCACCGCTCTGCTGGGGAAGCAGCTCAAACGAGCGCTTCAGGCTGAGAAAGTATCAGCTAGTTCTAGTTAGGTCTTAAACTCTCACAGTAAGCACACTGCGCCTCTGTCTCTGCAGCTGTTCTGGGTCTACGTCCAGGCCATGCTCACCAACCTGGACACCATGACACTGGAACGCATACACACCATGCTGCGGATGTTCGTCGCTACGGGACCCGTCGTCACGGAGATGGACGTGAACGAGCTGGAGGCGTTCCTGCAGAGGAAGGTCAGGGACCATCAGCTCATAATGTCCGGCAACGTCTACAGGCTGCCCAAATCCAACTGATGACTGTGCTGCGTTCAAGTGCGTCGGGATATGTGGAAGATTCCAGCGTTTGTTTTGCTCTGAGGGATTTTTACTAAAAGGGCTCATGGAGTAAATATGGAACAATTCTCACTTAAATTTCCTGGATTTTTCCATATGATGTGAAAGCAGCATGGATTTAAATAAAAAAAAAGAAAAGGAAAAGCAGTGTTTGTTTTTTCAAAATAAAAGCACTTCCACTCCTTTAAGCATCAGTACGGACAGATTTGACGCTGCACCTGGAGATAAATGTAAAGGTGTTTGGTGAACACCGATGTGTAGCTGGATTAGATTGTTGACGATTTCGCGTGATCCTGGATCGTTCGGTTCCCCGAAGCTCATCCGGGACTTGCTGTCATAGCAACAGAGCCGTAAGCGTAAACCTGCTCGGGAGCAGGTTTACTTTATGTAAACAGGATTAGATCGCGGCCACGCAGGTATGTCCGCTTCATTTATACGAAAGCAACAGCGATATTCCACCACTGTTTCACCATAAATAAATAACATCAATGTAACTAAAGATAATGCAGCACCTGATCCTTTATTGATTCACACAGATACATACAGGTCATTTCCTAAAAAAGGGAAATGTACTATTAACATTCTATTACATGTATGTGATTATTACAGATGTAATTCATATTTCAGAGTAGTAATTGAAATTACTTCGTGTAATCAAGATGAGAGACCACGGCTATAAAAGCGAAGGTGGATTTGGGAAGCCTGTCGCAGCATGTCCTGTCCGTATACGCGAGCAGCCCATTGCGGAAGGTGCAAGATTGATAAGGAGAGTCCTCAGAATTCAGCGTATATTGCGGGACAGACAGGATCCTTTAGCTCAGCGCGACAGTGTGCTCATTGAGAGATATCGATATTCCCGTGAGGGTATTATTCACTTAACCAACTTGTTGACGAGGGGGTGCAGGACCACCACCTGTCTTTTTTTCCTCTGCCCTTTTCTTGGTTGCTGTTATGAACAAACTAACAGAGTATTACAGGCCAGTATTACCTTGCCAAGAGACGAAAAGCAATCTAAGAGATAAATATTACCATTCTGTAGAATACTCCTGTATTCCACTTTTACTTGTTCCCATGTTCTTGTGGGTCCTGTTGTGGCTCTAATGTGAAAGGGGATATAATATAACATATTATGATATAATATAATGCCATATGATATTGGACAATATAGTGTCATATGATAGATCTACCCTACCGCCTACTGGTGTTGGCCAGAGGGGCCGATGGCGCGATATGGCAGCCTGGCTACAACCGTAGCTGCCTCCACCAGTGTGTGAATGTGGGAGTGAATGAATAGTGGTATCGTAAAGCGCTTTGGGTGCCTTGAGAGCGCTATATAAACCCAATCCATTATTATTATTATTAAATTACTACGAGTTTGATTTGTCAGCAACTTTCTGCCAGCCCTCTCTCCTTGCTTTTGCAGCCTTTGCAGTGTTCTCTTGCGTTTTAATTAAACTCTGAAACTCCTGAAATCCCTCACTCATGAGTTCTTGCTCTGCTGCCGAAAATACCGAGCACGCCCCTTCGACATTTTCGCCGACCAATCAGCGGGTTGCCGATCAATGTTTCTACTATCGATGCGTAGCCCCTTTTACGACACCCAGTGATCGCGCATTACTTCATCCAGCTGTAGTAATCGTCAACAGCAGGTGTGTTCGGGGAACCGGATTAGCGAGCTCACGGTTAGCGCGATGATTTGATCTTGGATGTAGTAAGCGACGTACGAAGAACAGGCCCCAGCTCTTTGACTCAGTGTGATTGTTTTTAATGTACTCTTAATTTGATCTGTTATTGTATATTTTCCACATGGTATGGGGATATTGTATTGGTTGTAAATGTTGTAGTGCTGTGTGTATTTGATGATGCCAGGTCTCTGTTGGAAATGAGATTTTTTACCTGGGTAAATAAAGGACTAATAAAAAATAACTCCTGTACAGGGGACGATGTTTTTATAACTCACCTGTTTAAAGTTTGCATTGTTAGGGGCGTGGCCACAGGTGACTGTCTGCTCCGCCTCACCTGAGCTGGACCTCTGAGTCGTGTTTGTACTGTTGGAGCCTTTTGGGGCATTTTAATGACATCACCTAACCAAAAACATGGCTGCTGTGAGGTCACTCTACTAAAGGTAAGTGAAATTCTAGGATTTCATTGCATACAGTCTCATCACTGCACAAAGAATCACTGAATTTATTGCTTTTATTGTATTTGGACACATTTGCTTGGCATCAGATTTACATTAAAACATGTTTTGGGATTACTGGCCTCATTCAGACTGAAATAAGGCATGCAGACAGTTTGTACTCATCACACACGTTAATGTCACAATTGAACAAACAGCTCCCTTTCACTGGTTAAATACATGTTCTGTATTAAGAAAAAAAATTAAACAGTGGTTTAAGACCAAAGTTAAAGGACCATGCTGGTGTTTGTTTTTGCTTGTTTTAGTTCACTGCAAATACAGATGTAGAGTTTCTCAGTGTTTCTCCCTTTTTTCCACTAACATGAGAACTGGCGACTAAAGACGTGGAGCGTGATATGGCTTTCATCTTCCACGTGTCACAGAAGGTAACAGAACAAAATAGAAACAAATCCCTGCAGTTTGATCTTCAGTGAAACCTACACAACTAGAACCTGTCATTGTGAAAGGTCGCAAGGTCATTATTTTCCCACTTTCAAAACCTCTGCTGATGAGCCAACCGGAGAAAAACTGACCTAACAGGGGAGAAGCTATCGGCTTTTTTCAGACAGGATGGAGCCTGTCTGAAACAAGCCTAGCATGAGATAAGTGAGTAATCATGCAAAGCCGCTTTAATCCAAAAACATGGAGGGAACGAGCAGAATCGGAGCACTTTAACATAGAAACTGATTCTCCCTAAAGCGCTGTGCAGCTGTGGTGGGAGCACAGACTCGACATGTGACCAAATCTCCGGGTTTTCCACCAATCAGGACGCATTATTGACTGACGCAGTGCCCAATCAAACACGTTTCATGCCAAAAAGGTGGACGGTGTTTGAATGGTCACCACAGAGGTCCCCGGTTCTAGAGCTCAAGCATCGGGGCCATGTTGGTGGAAAGTTCTTTGGCTACGTGTGACCATGAACTGACTTCTGTCTTTGGAGAGATGAGTAAAAAAGAATCAGTTTTAATGATGAAACCAGGTTTGTTTCCTGCCGATTGAAGTGTTTGAAAATTGTAAAAGCCGGGATAGAAGCTTCATTTTTGTGGTGTAACTTGAATGAGAGTTTTACAGGTGCTGATTAAGCTGATGATCACACACCTCCTCATAAACCAGTGCAGCTCAGACTGAAACGAGTCATTTAAGGCGAGCTCAGGAATCCACTCGTTTGAATAAACGTCACAGAAATGTTTCTTCTGGTTAGCATCCACAAACCAACCTGCACATTAGTCGCTCTTTAGCTTCAGTCCAACACACGACACGCTGCAGTCTGGTTAAAAAAAAAAAAAAAAAAAAAGCATAAACACCAGAATGATCCTTTAGGTCATGTGACCTCCTGGCTGCTACTTGCATTCAGTGCTGGCAGACTGTAGACCCTCAGGCACAGCGAGAGCTACAGCCTGCTGTGCTGTAGCTCCACACATTCATATCTGCAGTGAGAGACGGCCTCGAAGGCGCCGAGTTCAGTCTCAGCTGAATGCTGTGGGCGGAAGCGGCGTCTCAGCAGCATTTCTTGCCCCTCTTCCTGCGGTCTCGGTCTCGCTGGGCGTTGATGTTCACCGTGTCCTTCTCCCGCTCCCGCTCCCTCTCCACTCTGTTCTGGCTCTCCTTCTTGGCCCGGAGCACCATGAGGGTGAACGCCATGAACATCTGAGCAGAGCAGCAGAAACAACACAGACTTCAGGATTATCTAACGCGGCCCCGTGTCCCATCCCCGACCCTCAAACAGCAGCGACACCGTGCACGAAACTGTTCGTGTCACTGAAGACATTTTAAAAATAATAAAGCAAATACTCATGGATAGTAACAACAGGAAGCACAGTCACATCTGATCCTGCCTTTACTTTAGTCTCCGTTATTAAAACAGTCTGAGCTTTCCATGGTGAATATATCTGAGATCAGTCACAGGGTCCCTGCTGGTGGTTTACCAGCATTTTTATCAGCGGGATTGAGGACGAACCGCCATCTCTGCTGTTACCACAGTCTCCGTCTTTCAGCTCAAATCGAGACTAAACAGACCCCTCCTCCTCATCGCTACCCTCTGCAGTGTAATAATGAGATGAAGATGCACCTCAGGTTCATCATCATCTGCAGGCCTGGACCATCCAGTATGAAGGAAACCACTGCATTCAACCTGAAGCCCCATCATTATGAGACACTTGTGCGACACTGGGCCTGGATGACAGCAGTGAAAGGACACTGCCCCCCTCAGGTCACACTGAGAACTATGACCCCACGCTCTAATTTACCTGCCTGTCATTTCAATACCAACCTTACAGGCAAAACATTAGGAACAAAGGCTTTCGACCTTGTAATGGGACAAACTGCACACCAAAAAAATCATTTTAAATCAGGATGTTAATCATTTAAAGCTTCACCTCTTCAACATTTATGTTCTCTTTGGCACTCGTCTCGAAGACACGGACACCCACCGACTCCCCAAAACGCAAAGCATCCTGGGTATCCACCTGCTTCTTGGAAGGGTCGTCATTCTTGTTCCCCACTGAGGAAAGAAGGAAAATCCATCTGTAAACGCTTCCTGCAGACGTCCCCAACCAGGCTGAAACTCAAATGCATCATAAAAAAAGATATTAATAACTGATGCTGCAGGTCTGAAATGAACCAAAGCATCTCTAAGTGTCAAACCTGATTCACCTCCCCAGAGTCAGACCTGCACAATAACCTTCCTGTTTAAAATTACCAGTAAAACTTCACGTTTACTGAACCTGAGAAATCATCTGATAACAACAGTTTGTCTTAAACACAGTAGATCTACAAAAGTGTTTAAGATAAGATAAGATAAGATAAGATAACCTTTATTAGTCCCACACGTGGGAAATTTGTTTTGTCACAGCAGGAAGTGGACAGTGCAAAAGTTATGAGGCAAAAATTAGAATACAATAAGAATAAATACAGTACACAAGTGTACAGAATAGAATAAAATACTATATACAATAAGATAAAAATAGAATACAAATACAAATACTATATACAACTGAGTAAAAATACAACGATGACAGAAAGGATTATTGCACTTAGTATTATTGCACATGTATGGATGTGTGTGTTTGATCAGTTAAAGTCTTTATTATGGAGTCTGACAGCAGTGGGGAGGAAAGACCTGCGAAATCTCTCCGTCCCACACCGTGGGTGCCGCAGTCTCCCACTGAAGGAGCTGCTCAGTGCTGTCACAGTTTATGACGACTCAGTGGGACGGCACGTCTTACCATCAGGAAGTTTATAAACTGTTGGTGAGGGGAAAGAGGCTCTCCTCACCAGAGATGTGCCTGCATGATATCATAATAGATAAAATATTCGACCAGTGTTCAAGCTGACTGCATGTGGACTTTAAAACATATCCAAACTCAATTTTCCAAGTCTGGACATTAAAGTGGATAATGGAGCTGAATGAATGCAGCTGCATCTTTAACAAACCGTACGTCACCTGGAAGCAGACGGAGCCTCTCAGCAGCTTTCGGCACACCTGTGAGCAGGTCAGAGTTCACACTGAAACACTGATATTCAGGAGGAGTTTACGGTCGACCTACCCAGGATCTTGCAGACGTTGTCACAGTTCTGGGAGATTTCATTCAGCCACCTCTTAACATTTACGAACGACTCTGGATTTGTCACGTCGTAAACTATGATGACGCCGTGGGTGTTTCTGTAGTACCTGGGGACAGGTGAAGCGGAATAAACTGATGACCTCAGCGATGACGCTGCAGCACGCTGCACGCGGTCATACAAAGAAACTCGGGGGAGAAAGTTTCAGAGATCATTACGTTGAGGTGATGGTTCGAAACCTCTCCTGCCCCGCCGTGTCCCAGATCTGCAGCTTCACCCGCTCCCCGTCGATATCCACCGTCCGGATCTTAAAGTCCACGCCGATGGTGGTGATGTAGCTGCCTGCACGAGACGACACGAGAGAAAAAATAAAAGCCAGAGTGAGGCAGACGTGCTGCACAGCAACGCGAGTGCAGACGCACTGCGTGCGTGTGTGGAGTCAGTTTAAAGTTAAATACCTTTACGTGTGTGTAACTGCGCGCGTGTGTGTGTAACTGCGTGTGTGTGTAACTGCGCGTGTGTGTGTGTCGTGTGTGTGTGACTGCGTGTGGTGTGTGTAACTGCGTGTGAGTGCAGACGCACTGCGTGCGTGTGTGGAGTCAGTTTAAAGTTAAATACCTTTACGTGTGTGTAACTGCGCGCGTGTGTGTGTAACTGCGCGTGTGTGTGTAACTGCGCGCGTGTGTGTGTAACTGCTGCTGCGTGCGTGTGTGTAACGCGTGCTGCGTGCGTGTGTGTAACTGCGCGCGTGTGTGTGTAACTGCGCGCGTGTGTGTGTAACTGCGCGCGTGTGTGTGACTGCGTGCGTGTGTGTGACTGCGTGCGTGTGTGTGACTGCGTGCGTGTGTGTGAACGTGCGTGTGTGTGTAACTGCGTGCGTGTGCGTGACTGCGTGTGCGTGACTGCGTGTGCGTGCGTGACTGCGTGTGTGACTGCGTGTGTGCGTGCACTGCGTGTGCGTGACTGCGTGTGTGTAACTGCGTGTGTGTGTAACTGCGTGTGTGTAACTGTGTGTGTGTGTGTGTAACTGTGTGTGTGTGTGTGTGTAACTGTGTGTGTGTGTGTGTGTAACTGTGCGTGCGTGTGTGTGTAACTGTGCGTGCGTGTGTAACTGCGTGTGTGTGTGTAACTGTGCGTGCGTGTGTAACTGCGTGTGTGTGTGTCCTGCTGTTGCATCTGCAGGCCCTTGTTAACCCCCCCTCCCCCCTCACGCACCAACTCCACCACTTCAGATGTTTTGGCGTCCTGTCAGGAGCGCCTGGCCCACTTCCACTCGCCCCACCCGTTTACATCCTCTCCCCGCCTTCGAGAACTATATTTGATTCCCGCTGAGCGGCTGAGACACGGAGCGCCATTCCAGCCGTATGTGGGAAAAACTCTGCTAGAAAACCTCGATATTTCCCCACAGACTGCAGAAACGTGGCCGAGGCTCCAAAACGGTTTCTCAGACGGGATCGCAGCTGGCCGTCACACTGACCATCTGTGGCCGCAGCTACAGCCCACTGAACCACCACCACTCCAGCTTACATGTTTGTGATTCCAGCAAGAAAAAACCGAGCCGTGTTTCTGGCTCCGTCCTCCAGCTGTCGTGAGAACTTTTGGTCCGTCATGTCAGGACCAGACAAACCGTCCAGTGACACGCTTTAATCGACCGTGAGATGCGTGTTCCACGGAGCCGTCACACTCGGTAAACAAGCCTGAGTGTGAATGCTGCTGGTAGCGCTTCATAACTAATGACACATTCAACGACCACGTTTCTCCAACACCTGAGCTTCCTGTTATGAAACGATCAGCAAATTAAAAAAACTACAAACTGCAAATAAACTTTGGACTCTGGCTGCCTGACGCAGTCGCTTCCTCTGCTGGGATCCAATTCGTCTTTACAGCATCATCACTTTGAGATTTGGCTCACGACAGACATCTTACTCTAGTTTCACGTCGGCTTTCAGTTCAGCAACTTTCTGCTTCTGTTCCACATCTGTGGCTGTGTACCCACGCCACAGAGTGGATTCAAAACGCCGACACAGGTTATTAATATTCCTAAAGGAGGGCAGTTATTGTTTGACACTTGGGTGCGAGCACACGAGACCGTTCAGAGGAAATGGATGAAGCATTTAAACGTTTGATGATATAGACCTGCCTCTCCTGCAGCTCCTGACGTGTTAGGACAGCTCTTATGACTCCTGGAGATAAGATGACTCCTCCTGATAAAATGCTTTTAATTCTCGGCCTATAACTGGAGTCTGCTGTGTGTTTAGTGTGAGCAGGTATCACCTTTCATGTAACCAACTCACCTGAGAAGGAGTTATCTGCGAAGCGGAGCAGGAGGCTGCTTTTTCCCACATCTAAAGGGGGGAAAAGATCAGAGGGACGAGATTAATATCTGTTTGAGTAAAGCCTACTATGACCCCCACTGTAACTTTAGTGACAGCCACATACCAGCAAAACACACAGATGGGAGGAGGTGAGATAAGGAAAGTGAAACAACACAAAATAGGACAAAGGTTGAACTCGCACTGGACATGTGTGAGAAAAGCATCTGAAGAAAACCTGACAGAGGAGAGCCGATGAAGCAGGAAGACGTCGGGCTAAACGGAGAAATCGATGGGAAAGTTACAGTTTTCTCAGAGCATTAAAGTGTTAAAGACTACACGCCTGTAAAAACAAGTCCTGCATCTGCTTTGCAGGCTGGATGTTTGCCGCTGACACTTGTGGTGTCTATCAAAATCAGATTCCAGAAGCTGGAGAAAAAAAAAGAAAAATCACTGCTTGGTTCAATCATTTAAGCGGTTTTCCAAAACAAGACTGGACTAGACTCGTTCAGCAGGCTCGGAGATGGAGCTCGTTTATCAGGAACTGAAACCTCTGCCTGCTACGCCTCACAGATGGACGATAAACGTGACAGCATTACTCCTCACAGAAACAGCTCTGCCAAAGAAAGGCACGAGAACTATGTCGAGCTGAAAACTGGAAACTCGCAGCAGCTTCCTGAAACAGTCTTTCCATCCAAGCACGCGTCTCATGTGCAGCGATGAAATCCACCCACTGCTCTAAAATAAGTTCCTGCAGGGAAGAAGGTGACCGACAGTGACTCAGCACCTCCTGCAGGAGGCCTGACACCAAAAGCCCTGAAACTACAACATTCGATCAATAACTGGAGCCTGCTCTCTCCAAAGCAGAGGATCAGTTTGTTTTATGGAGTCATCTTTGTTTTACTACAAGCTTGGAGAGAGTTTGTTTTCTTGTTCTCGTGCTGAGAAAGTGACATTAAACGAGTTTTCCTGGGAACGCGCTCCCAACACAAAACCAGGCTCTGCTGAGGCCCGCGGTGCTGGCATCCCAACATGCTTTGCAGCGTCTGAACTCGGACTTTGTGCTTTCAAACAACATCTGGATTCATGAAATGTTAAAGTTTAATTATCATTATTTTTATTTAGGTACTCAGTCACTCTTACTGGTTTCAGATATATCACACCACCCCAGTCCTGGACTCTTTATTTTATCGATGACCTTTTAAACTAAAAGCTGTGCTCCGCCCCTCATGGGACCTAATCTGCAGCCAAAACACAGAAACGTTCACACACGCATCAGACACGCCCACCACAGCCGAGTCCGATACCCGAGCCGTGACGTCTTACACACATCTATCTACGTGTCATATCTGAGACATTGTAGCACATTAGGAGATAAGGAAGACAAACAACATCACAAAAACAGTGAAAGACCTCCTGTGGAACATGATCCCCGACTGCTCGGTTTCACAGTTTTTTCTGGTCTTGGATCTGTATGATGTCATAAAGAGGCGATCTCTCTAATCTGGAAAGCTCCACCCACCCAAAGCTCAAACCGGGCAGCCAATCACAAGAAAACTGATTTTAAAGGGGGCGGGGTTTAAACAGCTGGTTTCAGTCAGAGGACAAACTGAAGGCCCGCAGCAAGGCTCAGTATGATTTCAGGGGGGATTATTTTGAACTGTGAATCATGCAAAGCTGCTTTAGTTGCGTCGAGAAATAAAATTATGGCGCTATAAATAAATAAATAAATGTTTAGTCCTTAATCCAGCCTTGCATCTGGGCTGGCATGAGCTCAGGATTAATCTGTGTGAACTGTGCATAATATAATAGAAAAAGATTAATTTTAACTTTAAATCACATAAAGCTACTCTAACTGCAAGGATAAGCACATGGAGCTGGGAATGAGTACAGGTCCTCTTTAAAGCAAGTCTATAAAAGCAGGCAGTAAGAAGGTGAGTCTGTGAGGGGTCCCGAGGGCTACAACCCCAACACCTTTGAGATTCATGCAGTCAAGCTTCTTTCACATACAGGTGAAAACCAGACCAGGTGATCGGCAAAAATCAGCTAAAACCAATTCTGAAACAAACTGGAAGCCAGGACAGGGATGGTGCGATTTCGACCAGTAAGACCTCACCAGTTCATCAGTATGGAAACGTTCCTATTAATAGGTTTATTATGGTTCTACTGGCCCACAGAGACAGCAGCCTAAATGTACTGGAAGTGTCTGTTCACACATCTGTTTCTTTCAGGGCTCCATTAAAAAAAAAAAGAAAAGCTTTGACTGCAGAGAGATGTAAACAAGTTAAAATGTACTAACTGGAGTCTCCAATGATGAGCAGCTTAAAGAGATGATTGTAGTCCTTCCCTGCCATTTGGATGGCCTTGTTTTGGATTTCCAAGTAAAACCAGTTTCATAGGAGGAAGGTGAGCTTCCTTCCCTCCAAGTGCACATGCGGCACTCGCCTTGTTCCGCCTCCAAACGCTGACCACCTCAAGAGTTTGTCCAGAAATCACAGGTTCGCTTCCCCTTTGGGTGTGAGGACATTTCCAGTTACACTCTAGTTTCAGTTCTGATGTTCACATCGTTTTAAAAGCGAAACCGCAGCAGCCGGCAGAGTAGGTGGCACTTCTCGAGAGCTCTGCATTTATGATTCACGCTTGACGGCGAGGGCCGGCACCGTGGTTCCACCTTACTTCCAGTTCCACCCAGCGACACTCCTGTGGGGGATTTCCAACAACTCCTCCACAGTTGTGTCAGTGCAGCTCCAGCACTCCTCTGGATGCTCAGTCTTCACATGTACGGCTCCAGGATGGGCACATTTGGCATTTTGTGGTAGCGCTGATCATAAATCCCGTTACTGCCCTTCTCCTCAGAATTCCTCCCCCTCACCTCTTTTTTTTTGGTTGTTGCACTTGAAAGAAACTAAGATGTTCCTCTTTTTTTAACAGCAGCGGTTACATCTGCAGAGGTTTCTTTGACTCAATCCCTTCGGTTCCTCTGGTGGTTGGCTAAAAAGTCACCTGTTCCCTGTTTCATTGCACGAGGAGGGTTCACCAAAAGGAGCTAAACAAAAACAAGGAGAAAAGGTAATGAGAAGTCAGACCAAATCACATCAGACTTCACAACTTTTTGCTTGCTGTGTCCCGCCTTAACTGCCTGCCTGTTACTCAAACAGCAGCTGAGTCACTAAATATAACTTCCTATTCCTGCTGTATCCACCCCCATCCAATGCCTTATCTGTGTTAGCAATAACAGCAGCTCACTGACGGCCATCGTCCAGATTTGGTTGTTTTTCTAAATTCTTCAGGTAAAACAGCGGAGCTGAGCTGGCTGCTGCTGGGTTCGCTTTCCGTGAAAACAGGAAAGGCTGGACTTCGCTAATGCGAGCTAATCCAGCCCCAGGACGCTGTTCTGTCGTGAGTAGAGCGACGCCAATCTCCACTCCAACAAACGCACATTTAAATGTTCGTAGTGTGGCGGCAGAATCAATGCCTTCAACAATAAAACTACTCACCCCGGAAAGTCTTGGACCGATCGTCTTTGATTCGGCTCACATCAAGCCCCCAAATGTATACGTGATTCAATAAAGAAAAATAAACCTAAATTTAAAGTAACGGACTGGCTCCTTTAACTAGACTTCAACAACCATGTAAAGGCACAGCAAATTATTGAATAAAAGTATAAATTACGTGCAACCTTGTGTGTCTATACATGCCGAATTGAAGTATAACACATAACGTTGGAGCAAAGAAGTCCCAAATCTGTGTGACTCAGGTTTAAAACGCTTGGGCGTAGAAAACTGATGTTTTCGCTTAGATTTTTGAAGCAGTTTGGCAGATAATTCCATCAAACATTAGAAGAGATGGATATTGGTCTGTGGATGGCCTCAGGTCACTGATTCAGCTTTAAAAATCTTTAACGGCCGTTACTGGCAGTTTCTGACCCGCTGCTGGGACAACACGTTCGAAAGTCTCTTATTGCGCGAGCGTTTGTAGCTTTTGGCGGAACGACACGCCTGACTCCACGCGAAATATATTCATTTTTCGTTAAATGAAATCAAACTATGCCAATCCAAGACTTAGAGTCACTTGTGAAAACATTGTAAAAATGAATCAGGGACGTGCTTCAATACGGCACAAATAAAATAACAGTGCTGGCGTTAAACTGTAGTTTTGTTCAGAGCTCGATGGTTTTAACGGCCAAACCACCGACCTGTTAAGGCACAAACGGGACAAAACTGGTGAATAAATAAATATTAACGTTAATTCAACGGGTGTAAATAAAGAAGAAAGCAATGACCGCTCGTTAAAAGGCTAAATGTGTATTTGGTACTGGGTGTACTGCTGCAGACTAGCAAGAAAACGTTTAAACTTCCAGATTTGTTCATCCAGCCTGGAGTGACGGTGTCCGGGCCCGACGCTGGCCTGCCAAGACGTCGGGAAACTTCAGTGCTCGGAGAAACTTTCAACCCGCCGCCGTTTATTTAAAAAACGAACTTACTGTGGTCATGATGCGGTGGTTGGCCGGTAGGTCATGCTCACAGACCGGTGCTACACTCTGACTTGTGCCCGTTGATTCCGCTGGCTCGCCGCTCCGACGGTCGGACCGTCTCCCCGCCGACCACACCTGACTGACTGCAGCTGATGACCCACTCTCATCATCTGACGCTGCGTTCACGGTCATGTGGGAAAACCCTGCACCCTTCAACCGCAAAGTGCACACCGACACAGAGTACTACAGCTGCTCTTTCTTTCGTTTTCTAATATCTAATCAAATCATCTTTACCCATGTACTGAAACACATGATAAGGAAACAAGCCAGGGGCGTCCAGCATCCGACCGGGGGAAACTATCTGCCCCACAAAAGGGTCCAATCTGGCCCTCGTGGACTATTTTTTCAGATTCTCAATTTAAAATTTCCACATTGTCTATTTTATTTCATGCATTTAATGTACATAATTCACTTACTTGCTGCATATAATGTCCTCCTGTATATATTCACTTAATGTACATAATGTTCTCTCTCTTTCTGCACAGCCAAGGAGCATGTCAGGATACATTTCACTGCGTGCTGCACCCGTATAACTATGGATGTGACAAAGAAAGATTCTTGAATCTTGGAGGTTTTTACAAAATATTACAATAAAAAAAATATTCACTTGGAAAGTATCATGAGAGTTTGAATTATCATAGGTTTTACAGCCTTCTTACTGACAAATACTTACTGTTTCCCCCATTACAAATGAACCATTGAATGAATTGTTTATTTTCTACAGTGGGAGCATAGTTACAAGAATAATAACAATAATTTCACAGTAATAACTTAATAACACAGATTTATTTGTTAAAGTTAAAACATGGGTAGTGATGCTGATTTATCTTTGAAAGGGTAAAATTAAGAAAAATTAAAAAGAGAGAGACAGAGAAGTAAATGAATAATAAAATCAATGCAGAAAGACAAATAACGTACAATCAAAGGTGAAAAACAGAGATGCAAAATGGTCACTATGACACTTTAAAATGACCCCAAAGGAACTAAAAGAATTACAAAAATTACTGAAAGGAGTCGTCTTGAAAGAGGCTCAAACCCATCAGACAAAAAGGTCAAATGAAAAGGACGTAGGGTGAGTACAAAGTACATAATAAAACTACAAAGACACAAAAATGCAAAAAGCAAGTCCACTGGAATGACATGCTGTTAATGAGCTTTCCCTCTGTGATCAGTAAAGAGTGAATGCTAAAGAAGTGTAACCAAAACTAAAATTCACAGTTTGAACTTTAACCAAAATATTTGAAACACGGAGCTCAGAATCAGAACTTGTCTGTGTCGTGTGTGAAGTCAAAGTAGTGAGAAACACACACTGAACGATGGCGTGTCACCAGTTCTAGTATTACAACAGCAGCTTCCGCTTATGTCCGGTCACACCAAGATTTCCGCTGGCAGGTCACTTTTTTACCAACAAAAAAGTATTTCACAAGAAATTCTACGGACATTTAAAAAGCTGCTTAAGAAACTAAGCTAAAGGAAAAATGTCACAAACGACTGCAGGAAATAAATCAGCCGGGTGACCCACATGTGACCCTATATCTGTAAATGATTTGTAACAGTATCCTGTTGCAAAACTCTTTATTTTGAAATTCAGAGCTCCAAGCTTTTATTTTGTAACGTTACACTTGTTACTCACTTAATACTTTGTGTTAAACGGTTTTTTTTCCACACTTGTAATTTTCAGTAACTTGCAGATTCAGCTGAGCTCATGTTTTGGAGCCAGAGGCTGGTCTGCTGTCACCATGTGAGAAACGTAAAAATGTGTGAACACGTCGTGTTGCATTTGGTGCTTTATTGCTCCTCTGGTGAATCATCTGCGCACAGCAGGCAGAAAGCTGCGTTGATTGTCGTTTTTAAAATTACTGCATTCATAAAACTAGTCACTGGTTTTTCCAGGAAAACCTGGACTAATTATATAACCTACCTGCTCAAAGACACTTACAGTTACCATCATTATTAAACTGTGGTGTAGCGGTTCTCAAACGCTGGGCGTGGGCAACAAGAAGGAAACATGAAGTGAAACTCAACTGAATGAACAGGACTTTTCTTTTTTCAGGAAAACAGATTGTTAGGCAACAACTGCTCAGCTCCTGTGTTTGTTCATGATAAAAGTATAAAAAGACTTTTGTGGCTTTTTATAGAACAATTGTGGTGAAAACTGAGCAATTATGACCGTATGTTTACACTATAAAAATAAACGTGCACTGCATCATTTTTTTAAATTAAATCTGTTACTACAGTACAAATACTTTTACATTGAAAGACTTAGATTTAGTGTTAGGAAATTAAAAACTAGGATTAGTGTATGAAAATTGCTTGTTACAGTTTCTGAATAAGAGGACAAAAACTGAAATTGTTCAGACAAAAGAAGCAAACTGAAGTAATTCTCTGCACTACAACAAAACCTCGATTACTGCTACTTAAAGGTGCATTTCCTCTTTGAGACTCGGCATTAACAGAACGTGACTGCTAGGAAGTTTCAAAACATCTTTTTACTGTTAAGAAATGCAAGTTGAAATAATGCTCAGTTGTACTTCTCATACGCAGTGAGTCGATGTGACCGTTATTGGACCGAGTGAGCTGTTAAACATTCGTATTTCCAGCAGAAGCCTGTTGAGAAAATGGTGTTAAAAGTTAAAAGAACAGCAACACACCCGCTGCTCAGAACTGGTTAAAGTTGAAGTCACAAATTGCAGAAAAACAACAAAAGTACCTTTAAAGTGTGACACAA